GTGGTCGGGTGAGATGTTAGGGATGCTGTGTATATACGGCCAGCCGACTTTGATGCTGATTGAGACGCAAAATTGTGAGCTTGAACCGGCCGATCAATCGCATGCCCGAAGTTCGGAAAACGGCGTGTTGCTGAATGTTTGGGCCCTGTGGAGGCTGAGGACGTAATCCGTCCGATGATTCGTGTCGTAGAAGTGAGTGAGGATGAAGTTAAGATACACTTGCGGTCGGCGATAGGAAGTTGCAGGGTTGAAAGGTTGAAAAGCGGCGATGACCGACAGCCTGGACCATGGAGGAAAGCCGGCGGAAGTTGGATAGGGGGAGAGTTGCAAGAAATCGGGTTGATGAGAGTGCCGTCTCGAAGGGAGGGAAGATTCGACAAAGTGTAAAAGGGAAGCCGACGTCGGCAGGTGGTGTATGGAGGAGGTTGAATGTGGTGGTTGGCCAAACCCGAGAAAAAATGGCAGGAGAAGAAAGGGCAGTCACGATGTGCCAGAGGCAGGTGCAGTTCTGACTGAGAAGGGCGCTAGTGTATCAGGAGGACCACGCGAAACCTGTATCAATTGGGAAGGCAGGAGACGTCAGGTATAGAATAAGAGCCGGGGGAAGGAAGGACCGAGGGAAGACGAGGACGCGGACGCGGACGCAAAGATGCGGTATGCGAAACTGCAGATAGATGGCAGTTGACAGTTGACGTGTGCGAGCGTCGCTTCCGGTTGTCGTCGTGCTTGTGCGGCAGCTGCAGGAGATTCGATACGCGCCGCAGATGCAAAATGCAACGTGAGGGATGATAACTCCAGGTCGAGATCCGGTGCGGCCGACGGCAGCAACCTATGGATTTGAGAGTGTGAAGTGCGCAACCTTCAAACGGGCCAGTCTCTCGGTACTTGATGAAGAATTGGAAAAAATGACACAAGAGCGGGAAGAGTGCGTCAGAAGAGAGCAAGTGGCCCGTTCCGAGAGATTTGTATTTGTACAAATAGGTAGGTAATTACTTTCTCTCTTCCAACAGGAACCAGGTTCGACAGTGTGTGATCGTACGTGTCCGTCTGATTATGTACCGTGCTATGGATAGGACCAGGACACCAGTTGATACTGTTGGGCAAGCAGGTTGGTTCGCAAGCCGAGTCGGCGGTCGATCCAGCTCCAGTATGAATTTGTGCTCCCCGGCTTGTCCATATATCGAATTGGGACTAACACAACCGGCTTTCCTTGAACCCCCTTTGGTCTTGGCTCCCCTCTCAATCTCGCCGATAGCCCATGCAGTCATCTGAGATTTTGTGGCGTCCTGCCGGTCATGGCCCTGGGCCCCCCCATCCATCTGGTCGTGCTGGTTTAGAATCATTGGACATTGATCGGCAAGTGTTTTTCATTGTCTCAATCCGTCCTCCTCCCGCGTTGCTTATTCCACCACCACCAGACAAGGGCGCCCCAGCCGGCATCGTCAACTTTGCCCTCGCTCACAAACAAGAAGTGACTGTACGCCCGGACTGCCAGTTGCACCAGGCACAGCAGCGGCGACTTGTGGAAGCCAACGTCAACGGGACGCAACGCGCCGTGCCACATTGGTGGAGGAAATATTGAGATGAATGCCCTTCTTCACGAACCGTTCCGGACCGTCAACGGGTTTCGCATTGTCAAACAGCAGAACTCCATTGCCCGGCCTCCCTCCACTCCAGGCACGTTGCGACCCTCATTCTTGGCCAGTACGGAACGCAAAAGGGCGGGCAGACCTGGACGTGCTCATTGTGTCCTGCCTTACTGCCCCTGCCTCGAACGCTCCAAGACGGCGCCCATGGAAGCTTTCAGCAAAAGGGACGGTGCGAAGCTTACGTTGCCGGCCACATGGCAAAACCCATTGCTATCTTTGGGGGCTGTGGACTATCGACAAGTTCGCGCGTCGAGCTGCGTCTTTGTGGAAACTAGCCGTATCTTTGGAATCCAAATTGCCTGGTGCATACCATTCATGCTGGACGAAAGTGAGCTAGCCATGCGATGGGGAAGCATCGGGGCCGTGTTTGCTTCCGTTCTTGCAAAGTGCCCTCGCACCATTGAAGACAGCTGCAAGCTGCCTTCTCGACTCAAGGCGGTGCTCCTCTCGATCCGCAGCGTAGCGGCAAGACCGGCGGGGAAGCCGTCGTACAGAATCTCCCCATGAGTCCATGAAAGACGCGGTCGTGTCGTCTTCAGCTGTCAACTCTGCAGTCTGGTGGCTCTGTAGGTCCCGGCAGACCGTCTTGCGGAAGGCATCCGGTCAAGTCGTCCGGGGATGTCCATGACCCCGGCGAGAAAGTGACGATCCGGGCGATATGGTGGCATTTCAGCGTACACAGTACCCGCTCGAAGCGGATTCCAGAGACTCGGACCGGCAGACCGCTTGTTGGGAGCAGAGAGCAGACGATGATGAGACGTTGTGGATGTGTTTGTGAAGGGGTCCAGGGGGCCACTGGTCTGGGCAAAACGTCAACACTTGAGCAGGGGCTGATAAGTGGCTAGCTGCGAAGCCACGGTGGTGGCATCGTAGTCCGATGCTTGGTGTTGGCGTTGGCGTTGGCGTTGGAAGGCTCGCAAGACTCAACCCAAAGGCTAAGGCAAGAGTGAGATGGAGTGCAAGGCAGGGGACGAGGGCCACTGGGATGTCGTCTGCAAGGTGGAAGAGTCGGGATCACAGATTGGATTCAGGGCGCGGGTGGATCTGCAGGGAGACGGCAATCCGGGGCAGGGCCACCCCTGAGGATTGCGAGATCTAAACCGTCTTGGGGGACAAGGTGGTTCGTGAGTGGTCAGGTTCCAGCTTCCCACTGCAGCGGTGCCGCTAGGGGGCCGTGTCAGGGGACTTTGCAGTCTGCGGGGCACGTCCTGGCGGCCGTAACTGCTGGCAAGCCTACGTAGTAGGTACTCTAAGGCACCTTAGTGGCCCAGGGACCACTCACGACTCAGCGATGGCATCGTCTGGCCAAGCCCAGCACGCCCAGGTGCGCCGCGGAGCGATCCATGCCACCCTCCACTATCCATTTGGCGGCTCACTTGGCCACTTTAAGCGAGTTTGCCAACCAACGACAATGGAGGGCAAACATTCTTTCCCTTTGCTTATTCCAACAAAGACCCAATCCAACGAGGTCTCAAGCAGGTCCCAGCTCAATTCCAGCCAGAGTCAGAGGGCCTTTGTGGTCTATCCACTTCCCGTTTGTACCATCGAGAAGAGTGTCTTGGCTCTTGAGCCCTTTCTATATGCGGCATACCTTACCCCCAAAGGGCCCAGTTTGCCAACCATCACCTGCGACCAACTCGAAATTGCCAACGGGCTTGACCACAAACATGTTCCAACATCTCCTAACGGTCTACCCATGGATACTGGACGAAGATCGGATCACAATAGCTCCATCCCAACAAGCACGGAGCACCTCTCCCACGTGGTTTGACATTTTGGCCACGACGCATCGGGCGTGGTCTAGGACCGACGTTAAACTCTCCGTAGTGCTGGGCGATAAAGAAGCGAGCGAGCGAGGAAAAGAGCGGCCTTTTGTAGCAGTGCATGATGCGTAGGCAAGGTACGACGTGCGTATGTCTGAGTCTTCTGGAGAACTGGCCAGTGAAGAGGGCCTCAAGTCAGACTGATGACGGCTGTAGCACACGCAAGGTCAGCCGCAAAAGAGCAAACAGGTGATAGCTAGGCAATGGTCAGCAGGGGCTGATGCGAGAGCAGAACATTGTCACAAGCTCAATCTCGGTACAAGGACGAATTTCCCGCATATGATGCAAAGCACCGGTCACCGACCTTGGCGGTCCTATCAAGGAGCTTCGAGACATGTCTCGCTTGCCAAGGTTCACACTGCAGCGGCCGCCTGCAGGCAAGAAATTGGCTCATGGCTGGATTCCCCGTAGTAATTGGTTTATCATCTGGAAAGACGGCAAAGCTGAGCGGCCAGATGAAGAAAGGGATAGTCAACTAGGCCATTGGCTGCGGCTTGATCGATGGTAGGAGACAGAGTTACGATGGCCAACGTTTTTGGATAGGCCTGGGCGGTGGAGGGCTTGATTTCAAGGCCGATTGGGCGGTTTCCGATGTTGAAGCTATCACGACGAGGTCCGATATCGACGATAAGGTCAGGAAGCAGGCGATTCTAATGCCTCGTTCGGACGATGGCGTAGTTCTTCGGCAGTCCGAGCGGTTGAAGGGCAAGACTAAGACGCGCCTAACCTGACAGCTGGGTCGTAGGTTCGTGAGGCGTTGCGCACAGATGGAGTTCGTTTCTTGGGATATTCGAGCTAACGTGATGGATGGTATCGTCGCTCTCCCGAAAGCCTATCAACTCGTACGAGAGCGTGAAATCGATATCAGTCGTGGCTTGAAAGTCTGGCGCGTAGGCATTGATGATGAGGGCCGGCTCACAGCCCGTCGGCGAGGCCTTGTGGTGAATCAATGGACATGGCGTTTATCGTTGGAAAAAGGCGTCGTCGTCCAGCTTTGGGGACTCAAGCCTTTTGAGCATTCGTGGCGTCGAGAAATGGCCGGTTTAGGAGGAGCTCTCTCGCAATGTCCTTTGATGGCAGATTGGCACGAGCACCTCCACGTCCCGGTTGGCGAGTGTAGATCTCCCATGAGGCTAGCGCCTCGCGTCAAACGTGGAAGAGACAAGCTGCGGCTGGTAGGGACGGCCTGGAACTTCTCTCCTCCTCAGGCCTGGAGGCTAAAGCCGCGATGTGGACTTCCCGCAAGATGTTCCCCACCTCCACGCGGCATTGGCGCAGTATAGGTTTTGCTGAGGAAAAGAAAGACTGGTACACCCTCTTTCACTGGCGTACCTCAGAAAGTGGCAGACTAAAGCAGGGTCAACTCGGTGAGGAAAGGTATCCTTCTCGGAAGAGGGGGGAAGAAGAGACATTGGATGTCGTCCAGGAGATGCAGGAGATGCATGTACCTCGAGGCTTGAGCAATGGAAGCTTGAGGCAGGCAAGTCCGGTAAAGGTGCCGGTAGGTAAGTAAGGTACCTACGATGGGGTCGTTTGCAGGTGTGCAGGTGTGCAGGTGTGCAGTAGACATGGGCAGGAGCGAGCAAGGATATAATTCATCCTGCCACTTTCGCCCCTTCCACTTCCAGGTTCTTCCCTTCTCTAGGCATTCCATTGACCATTAACGAACGCACCTTCACTTTCTTCTCCAACGGTGCATCTGCCTTCCCTTTCTTCTCCTTTTCCAAGACAGCCCTTTTATCGATCCTTCCCGCAGGATTCGGTCTCGTTGCCAGGCCGTCCCGGGTACCACCTCTTCCAAGTTCCGAATATTGGACCTTACCTCAGGTTCTCGTCACCTCACTCTACATTCCTTTCTTCCACTCAATCCTTCCCATCTCGGTTCCAATACTCGCCGGACCTCACTTTCAGGTTCTCCTGCGGCTTTCCTCATTCTTTTTACTCCTACCTCCTCGCCGATTGTGTGCCAACCACCTCCCGCCTCGCCTCGTACAGGACTCTGAGACATCTCAACCTTCTTCCTTTGTACTGAGTCCTGTACCACAACCTCCTCACCACTCGGGCCTCCCTACCACTCACTACCGCCTACCTCTCCGAGTCGCCTGGACGCTCGTCCACCGACTCTCCTTCCTCCATCGCTCGCTATGAGCAACATGTCGACTCACTCCAACATGGAGCGTTTGGAACCCGTCGAGTCGCCCGTTCGTCGATCCGCCATCGGCCGCAAATTCCATGCTATGTGGAAAGCTGTCGATCGCTGCGACAAGCGAATTTCCACGTCCACCTTTGGACGAATCTTCAGACTCGAGGGAAGCGGCCATGTATGTTTTCTCCCCCTGCCTCTGTTGCCGAATTCTCTAACTCCGGACAGCCTAAGGAGATTCCCGATACATCATTCTTTAGGGAGATTCGCGCGGGAGTGACCACCTTTGCGACCATGGCGTACATCATCGCTGTCAATGTGAGTGTATATCCTTGATCAGCTGTGAGGGTTATGTGCTGATCGGCCTAGGCAATCATTCTCTCACAGACAGGCGGCACTTGTGAGTGCGACTTGGTAAACAGAGCCGACTGCGACAATATCGACAGCTACAAGGCTTGCAAAGAGAGTAAGTCGGTCGAGATCACTCAATGAGCCCGGCTAACCTTGCTAGATGTTCGTCTTGACCTGATCACTGCGACTGCTGCCATCGCCGGCCTCGCTAGCTTCATCTTTGGTTTCTTCACCAATCTGCCAGTGGCGCTTGCGTAAGTGTTTGCCTCGTGTCCAAATTTGGCCCTCACTGACAGACAGTACAGTCCAGGCATGGGCCTCAACGCATACTTCGCTTTCCAGGTCGTCGGCCCCAACGGCTCAGGCAACATTCCCTACCGTGTCGCCTTGACAGCAGTCTTCGTAGAGGGGCTCATCTTCATCGTCCTTGCTCTTACCGGAATGCGCCAGTGGCTTGTCAAGCTCATCCCCGCCACTATCAAGACGGCAACCGGCGTCGGTATCGGCTTCTTCTTAACGGAGATTGGACTTTCTTATTCGGCCGGAATCGGTGCCATTACTGGAGGCTGGAAGTCTACCCCTCTCGCCATCGCCGGATGCCCTGTTGAGATGATCGACCCAGACACCCAGATGTGTGCTGGAGGCATCATGTCGAGCCCCAAGATGTGGACGGCAATCTTCGCTGGCGGCCTTGTTACGGCCTATCTGATGTCATTCCGGGTCAAGTATGCTCTCATCATGGGTATTGCCCTGGTGTCCATCTTGTCCTGGCCGTAAGTCATCCGCACTCGATAACGCGAATATTGCTGACTGTTTCAGACGCAACACATCCATCACCTACTTCCCTTACAACGAGGAAGGCGAGAATCGCTTCAACTTCTTCAAGAACGTCGTCACGTTCCACCCAATCCAGCACACCCTCAACGCCCTGGACTGGGATGTTACCAAGAACGGATCGCAATTCGCCCTGGCTCTCTTCACCTTCCTCTACGTCGACATCATTGATGCCACGGCCACGCTGTACTCCATGGTCCGTTTCTGTGGCGTTGTCGACCCCAAGGACGGCGATTTCCCTCGTTCAACCATTGCCTATTGCTGCGACGCGGCATGCATCTCCATCGGCTCACTGTTCGGTTGTTCTCCAGTCACAGCCTTCATCGAGAGCGGTGCGGGTATTGCAGAAGGTGGCCGCACCGGACTGACATCCATGACCACCGGACTTTGCTTTCTCGTCTCCATCTTCTTTGCTCCCATCTTTGCATCTATCCCGCCTTGGGCAACCGGTTGCACGCTTGTTCTGGTAAGTTCTCAAAGGCCCCAAAGGTCTCGAGAGGTGTTCCGGTCTAACTATCGCAGGTCGGCTGCATGATGATTCGTCAAATTACCCAGATCAACTGGCGCTATATCGGCGATGTTCTTCCATCCTTTGTCGTAATGACTTTCATTCCCTTCTCGTACAGCGTCGCTTACGGCCTTATTGCGTAAGTTCCTCTCATGACATCTCTCTGGCCATGGCTGACCATCCTAGGGGCGTTTTCGTGTACACTGTTCTTAACGGCCTGATCGCCTTGACTGTCTGGCTGTCTGGGGGTAGAATCGAGCCTCGCGAGTACGATGCGAAGGAATACTGGTCCTGGAGAGGCTCTGGCAAGAAGCCCTGGTTTGTGCGCGCTGTCCGCAACAGCTGCTTCAGCAACGGAGACAATGACAGCAAGCGTCAGTTTAACATGCAGGATGACCACGATAGCTCCTACGCTCCGGGTTCGCGCATGGATTCATCGGACCAAAAGGAGGACGGTGTTCACATGGTGACGATCCCGCAGCGGGCGGTCACTCCGCGTTCCGTGCACTAAAGAAAAGTACTTGGTCTAGGGTTAGATTCTTCATTTTCTGTTACCGGGGGAGGCGATTTTCTTGCGAGAATATTGTGCCAGGTCTACTGGCTATATCACTTGAATCAGCTGTCAATGATTGTAGATAGCAACAATGAAACACCAGCTTTGAATTAATTCCTCTGCCGTAATGGTGACATTGGTGGTGCCAGTAAGCCTTTAGGGGCGTTAAGCTTGGAGAGTCGGGTGCCCCGGCGAATCTTTGACCCTGGTCCCGTTCCACCGCGCCCCACCACAGCTCCGACCTACCTGGGTTGCGTCAACGGTCAGCGCTCCGTCCGCAAACATTAAAGCTTCAATCTCCAGCTTACCAATTCCAGTCCGAGTGCCGAATCCGATTTGACTGCGACGCGAACCACTGAGCAACTACGACGTCTTGCAGAATACTCAAACAACTCAGCGACCAGCCCCCGCCACATTCACCAGTACTTACCCCTCCTCCGCCTCCAAGATGAGTGGTGGATGGAATACCAGTATGCGGCTCCCAAAAGAAGCTCCAGCCTATTGTGCTTGCTAACCGTTGCAGTCGAGTCCGATGCAGTACGTCACTTTAACGAATTGAAATAGCACCAGACTAACCATCCAGGGCGTTTTCACCTACCTGCTCGAGAACCTCGGTGTCAAGGGTGTTCAGTTTGAAGAGCTGCTCACTCTCTCTCCCGATGAGCTAGCGCCTCTGCAGCCAATCTACGGCATTATCTTCCTCTTCCGCTACCCCTCCGAAGGCCTGCCTGCGCGGCCAGCAGACTCCTACGACCGCGATGCCGCCGAGAGCCTCTTCTTTGCCCAGCAGACGATCCAGAATGCCTGCGGCACGCAAGCGCTGCTGAGCGTCGTTCTTAACAAGACCAACGAGGTGGAGATTGGCGAGAAGCTTGGCGAATTCCGTGAATTTACCATGGTTCTGCCTCCCGAGTTCCGCGGGGAGGCGCTCAGCAACTCTGAGCTGGTCCGCGATGTACACAACAGCTTCGCCAAGAGCAGTCCCTTCGTCGACGAGACGCAGAAGACGGGCGAGGCCGAGGATGCCTTCCACTTTATCGCCTACACGCCCATCAATGGCAGGCTGTACGAGCTGGATGGACTGCAGCCTGCGCCTATCTCTCACGGCGCCTGCACGACCGAAGAGTTCCCGACCAAGGTGACGCAGGTCCTCCAGGATCGCATGCTTACGTACGCCAGCTCTGAGATTCGGTTCAACGTGCTGGCCATGGTACGCGACCCGAGGATTGCGGCCAAGGAGATTGGTGATTCCGAGACCTTGGAGCGAGAAAACGAGAAGCGCCGCAACTGGAGATTCGAGAACGCTCTGCGTCGACACAACTTTGTTGGCTTCGCTGGCGAGGTCCTGAAAGGTGTTGTCGCGCAAAAAGTTGAGGGCGGCGATGCGGCATACGATGCCTGGATCAAAGAGGGCCTCGAGCGGAGGAAGAGAGATGAGGATGCCGTGAGATTGAGACGGAAGATGGGTGGCGGCGGTGACGACGACGAAGAGATGATCGGTTAAACGTGTCAATGATACCATGAATAGAAGCGGGATTACGTTTGGGTCCATTTTGGTACGGTGTCTATGGACCGTGATAGGAAATGAAGCCATCGAACACAACTTGCGCCTGGCCTGGAAGCCGTCTTGGTCATTTCTTTGGTTCGGTTCGTTTGGTTTGGTTTGCTTTGTGTCCCATCCCCAGGTAATTCCGCGGAAACAAATTTGTACTGACAAAGCTGATTGTCGGCAGACATTTGGTGGCCAACGTCGTCTTGGTGAACACATGTTCAATTCGCCCCGGACCAGTATCATCCTCTCGAGGTTGGTTGAGGCTCTGTCTGCCACCCTCCGCGCCCACGCCTGTTCCCAGGCCCTATCTAGTGCTACATAGCAAGTCACTATCGTAGCTTTGTTGACCATAGACAGGCCTTCGACCTTTCGTCTATCCGAGTGCTTTTAGCCTCGACATCGGTGAGCGACCCGGGAGGCGAGAGCTGCTATGTTCACCCTTCATCTGGGGTCGGCTCGACAACCCTATTGTTTTCGCCCTACTTCCCCGTAATGGAACACATATTCAGCCCTCTTTCACCTCCAGATGGGTTGTTTGATCTGGTTCTTTCCAGGTCAACTCACCTTTCACTTCCATCACTCAACACCACCATACTTACCTGCCCATCCACACTCTGCAACGATGGGTAGAGTCAAATCAGAGCAGCCCACCGGCAAAAAGGCTCAAGCCAACGGCCGAGACCAGCGCAATCGCGGTGGCCGTGGACGCGGACGTGTCCAGCAGGACCGAATGCATCGCATTCCCGCCCCGTGGTCCGCTCGCGATGATTTCGCCATGGGACGTCTTCGCTCCCCCGTCCCCGCCCCCGAGCCCGAGTCCTGGGTCTCTGTGGGAGACCTCGACAGAAACCTCCAGAAGTGGATGAGAAACGGACAGCGGGACGAGGTGCTGTCCAGATGGGGCCTGGGACCCGGCGAGTACGACATCCTCGAGGACCGCGTCCTCGCGGACATTGTGGCCAAGTGGCCCGACGCGACTGTCGCCCTGCTCTACGACAAGGCGCAGGAGGCCAAAGAGCACGTCTATCGCCACTTTGCGGGCCAGGGCAAGGTCCGCGTCAGTCTCGAAGCGAGCGATTGGCTCAAGCTTGAGGGCTTGTGGAAGCTCATGGGTAGGTCTACCAACTATTTCTATCTTATTTTTGAAGAGAGAATTAGTCGTTGAAGTAGGGAGAAAAATTCGTTACTGACATTTGAGCTTCGCAGACAAGGCTCACAGTCACGAGGAGCGCAAGTATCCGTTCGACTACACGTACGGTCAGATCCGCTTCTTCGACCGCGGTCTGATGGACAAGCAGTACGCCTTCTACTTCAAGAAGTACGAGCACGAGCGCGCCCGCGCCCAGGATGCCGCTCCGGCTGCCATCGCTCCAGCTGCCCCGATCGCTGCCCGCCCGATGTCGGTCCCCCCCGCCGCTGCTGGTACCTACCTCATCCGAGAGCAGGCGCACATGCCGACCGCCTGTATGGCGGCGCCTGGTGGTCCTCATCCCGCTGCTCAGGGTGGTGGTGGTTGCTGTACCGGCAACCACGGTCCTGGATCCTTCGTCCCGATGCATTCGCAGGGAGCCTGTATGATGGGAGGAGGAGGAGGAGGAGGAGGAATGGGCCAGGCGGTCGTCCATGGAGGCACCGCTGGCACCTTCTACCCTGCGCCCCAGCACCATCATCATCATCATGGAGCGCAGCCGGGACCTGGCATGGGCTATTACTAAGTCTATAACGATGTTGGAGAAGAGCAGACAATTCTGAGATGGGCTTCATGTGGTGTTTGGGGTTGGCTCTAGATTCGATATGGATGATAGGCGGCGTCACGCGGAAGGATGAAGGATGAAATGGATCGACCTTTGTTCATAGTCTGGTCGCGGCCATGGTAGATGGAGTGGTATCATGTCCAAGGTAGCCAATGGATGAGAAAATCCGCATGAATTCAAGTTGAAAATTGTGCAAACTTGATCATGTGCGTCTACCGCTGGAGAGGAGATTGCGGGTGATACCTACCTTCCATTTAAACACACCCCGCCCCCACCCTAGCTCCTTGTTACTCGGTGTGGTTTACGCCCTCGTGAGTGCTTTCATTGTAAGTGTTTCCATCATGAATGCTTCCATCGCAAGTGCTTCTATCGTTGCGCAATTCTTCATCTATGATTTTGTTGGAGGAGACTGTGCGGAAATGGTACTCATTGCTAGCCATCGCTAACCTTTGTGCGATGTCGAATCATCTCGAGTGTAAAACATTTGACGGAGGATCATCGCCACCGTCGCGATGGACGGTCGTCGTGGTTGTCCTTCTTCATACCACACCACCAACCACCAGAAACTCTCATGGATGTGAAATTGATCGAAGACTGGCCACTTCCACACCTGTGTAGTTGCATCGCACGGGTATGGGCTGTTGGCGCACGTCGCAAATTTGTTTTCTACAAAAGGGATAAAACTATTACACTCCTTTTCATAAACTTCCGTTCCAAGCCTTTTCTCATCTTGCCGAACCTTCACCAAAGCAAATTCTGGTGCGTCCCAACACTTCATGGCCCGACTACCTGTGAGTCCAAGTCTTGTTTTCACAGACTACTAGCGGTGAACATACTTCACAGCATTCCATCCATGCTGCTTTTGGTCTTCCAGGATCAGTTCCTCGTTCTGAAGGGCGGTCTGCCAATCTTTAGTCACTGGGTCCACCTGGAGGCGACTCTGGTTTTCGGAATCCTTGGAGTAGTCGTATGTGAGCCAGAATTGCTTATTGGCATCTTTGAATGTGTTCTTCCAGATCTCCATGGCAAATGACTTGGTCCAGGGATAACCCACTGGATTCTGTTTGTATTTGCCCTCATGATGCTTCACATAGGCGCGCGCAATGTCGGTCCAGACAAGCCTGGTCAGAATTGGTGGTCTGTTAGCGCGTCGGACAACCAAGATATGATGAAGTAAGTCCAGCCGCATTAAATTATAACGAGTCACCTGGAATACTTGGCAATTGTCAAACCTGTGCTCTGTTGTGTTACATATGGGGCATCCGTCAATGTCGCCGAACGGACCTGGCCAAATGCAATCGATCAACGCATGGCCACGAGCTGAACAGTGTCCGCAGATGACACTGAAGTTTCTCTCGTCTCGCTGGAGGAAATCGTTTCCTGTCATGAGTTTGTGGGTGACAGGATCGGGGGTCTGCTTCGGAGGTGCCCAGCCCGACAGCGGACGACGAAGTGAGAAGATTTGATGACCATGATTCGACGAGCTCTGTTCTGGAACAGCAAAGCTTGTACTGTTTTTTCTCCTCAGGATGCTCTCATTTTCATCTCTCTTCGTAGAATCGTCTATGTGGCTGCTGAATGGTTAGTCAGTCGCCTTTTTGCTTCTTATCGGGGCAGCACAAACCGAGATTCATCTTGAGTGCCCTCGCTATTCTTCTCGATTCTCGAATCGGCCCACTCTACTGACGGTCTACTGACTCGATATCCGGAATTGATCTTCCAGTAAAGCAGGAACCATGTATATCCTGGATCTCTAAACCAGTCCTCTTCAAACATCCACTCCCATCGAGGTTCTCCGGTTTGTGTGAAAACTTGTACCTGATCCAAACCGTCCGTTCCGTTCTGTCGCAGTCGGACTGCTGCTCGTAGTACATATGTGACCCGATCGCGGTTATCCATATCACTGTTACTTTGATTGATGAGGCATCTGTCTCTGGTACTAAAGCTGTGTAACTCGTCAGACGTAGTCCGGTGTCCGTCGGCTACGGAGAATTCCAGAGGGAGAAATTCAGGATTGTTGCGGCATCGAACATCCTTTCCGATGACTCTGTCGATTTCCTTATCAATCGCTGTTCCGAGATCTAAAGGAGTTGAAGCGTCCGACCGTACGACTCTGAAGAAGGCGCCCCGAGAGTCTCCGTGGCTTGCTGGTGCCAAGTCAGAGGCGATGGTATCGAAGGAGAAGCATTGCTCAGGTCTGGCCCAGAGCGTAGAGCACATTAGGTCTGACCAGACTAGCTCCATGAATGACGGTTCATTGCCCAAAGACAAAGCCTCATATATCTTGACCGTAGCTCTCTTATATTCCACTCCATAATCTTCGAAATCGAAGTCGAGCCATGCGTGGCGCATGATTGGGTTCTTTTCCTCCAATTGTCTCACGGGGTTGTCGGTAGTTCTTGATTTCAATGGAAGACACGAGTTGATCATCTTGATGATGACTGTAAGGCAGGCTAGCCCAGATACGTCGACCGGATCCCATCGTTGCGAGACCCCAGTGGGCAAGGTGTCGAGAAGTAGACAATCTTGTAGCGCTCGATCATTCGTTATGGCACGTATGTCCGTCATCTTCGAACGAATTTTTGGCGTCGATCTCCAAATATGGAATCTGTTAGAATTGGGGAGAGGTAAAAGGGAGTCGAGAGGTCTATATGAAAGATTGGGAGGACATAAAGGTGTGGCGCGTGAGTTAGGAGGAGAAGGGAACTTTGAGCGACATTCTTACTCCAGTAGTGAGAAGGCATCGGAGGAAGGAGCTCACTCCCCAATACGGTTTGCAGTCACCTGACCGCAAGACTTCTTCCTTTGGCATCGTACCTTCCAAAACTTTGACACTCTAGCATATGCCCATTCTTACTTCGGAGTACACCATGCGTATGTCGACCAGGATGAACCAAGATGAATTTTGAAGAGTGCGCTGTGATGCGAGATGTACCCAAGCCCTTTGACACATCCCATAGTTTCCCTCGTGAGTGGTGCGCTCCATCTCATTTCAAGATAAAGATACAAAGCATAAATGTGCCTGGGAATGCTGATGACAAGCTGCCAGGCCGTCAAAACAGGGACCGGATATGTGGGCGCGACTGTTCAGCACAACACATTGGAAGTAAGACCGACTGCTCGTCGGACTTCAAATCCAGCGGCCAGGAATACAATCAATGTTCACGAAGGCAACTCTATTGACAGCAACGACGCAGGGGAACTAGATTACACTAAGACCTCTCGTTGACAGAATTTCCAAGTGGAAACTTTGAAGATGACCCGAACAATACAAACACAACTCGTGATCGGCAATCGTCTCCAAACTTTTACACCGAACAAACCACATAAACAGAGACCATGCCTAATGTCGATGTTTATGGCCAATCGACTCAAGCCTTAAAGGCAGCCATCGCCCGAATCGCCAGAACCTTATAGTCAGAGCAGCACTTCGGAGTCCATTCCGACAGAGCTCGGGAGTCCTCGTCGAAGCGTCTCTGCCATTGGACCTTTTCTGAGGTCTCGAACATGCCGCTCGATGGGCTCGAAGTCTTCTTCTGGATCTCGTATCCCGTGTCGAGAACATCGGGAAACGGCGACCGGTTTTCAAACCAATCGGTCTCCGTGTACAAGTTGGGAGACGCCGGATATCGCTGCGCGATGTACATCTTGATGAACCTCCGCACCTTTCCCCAATGCAAGTCGCCACGCGCTTTGGCTACGTTTTCCACGTAGCTTGTCAATTTCGAGGGGGGCTGTCTCCCCGGAATTTTCGTCGAGAAGTCGACGAAAGCTGAGATACCCGGATACTCGGTCCATCGTGAGTTCTCGCGCGTCTCGAAGTCGAGGATGCGGTCAATATCGACCCAGTCCATAACGGCGAAAACGGCTGAGGTCTCGTAGGGGCACTTGATGATGGGACCGACTGATTTGCGGCCACCGAAGAGTTGTCTCCATGTCTGGCTCTCCATCTTCCGACGCTTGTTCTCGATCTCCTGGGAGTATGGGGCGTGACGCTTGACGATGTAGTCCTTGGCCATGCACTCCCACTTCAGGCCCGCTGCTTTATGGCGTCCATCAATGCGGATGAGGGACTCAATCTCATGGCGGCCATATTTCACTGCGTCCAGGGCAGGGTTCACCAGATCTGAGAGAGGCCAGTATACGGACTCGGAACAAAGGTGATGAAGCCTCTCAGCGCGGGTCCGCGTTGCCTGGCTCATGAACTGGCCCGACTCATTCTCTGATAGAATGTGGGCCAGCCAGTCTGTCGCTTCCGCAGCCCTGGGAGACGGAAAGTCCCCCGAGGGCTGCGGGGTGTATGTCAGGGCATTTTGGAGGTTGCCCATTCTGAAGTCGACGCAGTCGTTGTATTGTGTGGCCATTGTGACGAGTTTGAGTGGTAGATGGCTTCGTAGATGTATTGACCGGTGAATACGAGAGAAGAGGTTGCAATGGTTGAGTGAAGATGAGGAAAGGGGTTGGATGTGATGTAAGAGAATTGGAGTGCTACAGGGAGAAAACCTGACCACATAAAAGATAGGAGGAGGTTATCTCCGTCAGGGATCTTACCATAGGCCGAAGGGGTCGAATCGTCACTTGAGAAGGGGGAGTACGCACATCTAAAAGGTGAACGAGCTACCGTCCCTGGTATCTCCGATTGTTTTGCCGACACCTCGATGTTAGAGTTTGACCCATGATTCGGTTCATGTCTTCAACTTCAATTCTGGGTACTGGCGATAGACAACACCATACATCTGACTCTTTATACTAGCTGTAACAGCGCTCATCTTCACATAGCTAATGGGGCCAAAGGAGGGGATGTTGCACTCCTGAGGCTGATGGATATCTGGACCGTTGTCAACGCCTGCCCGGCTTCTGTGAAGATGCAGAGCTAGAATTTGTAGATTTAGTGTCGTCCAGACCGAGCCCCTGATACAAAAACGCGGGAGAAGGAGGAACTGGGACATAGAACGCTACAGACGACGCCGAGATAGAACGTGAAAGACCTCTATCATAGGAACCCGGATTGGGCCAAACTTTGAGTGCGAACGTGAATGTCGTCACGGAAGGAGCTGCTATCCTCGCTATATATGGGCAATACAATGATTCCAGGTCCCCAAAAGCGATGCATTTCCAGAGCCAGTGGCTATGGTAAACAATCAAACCAAGGCGGTGGACCATTGGGGTGCTGATACCTGGAGGTTGAGTGAGGTTGAATTAAGATACGGCTACATAGATATCCGCCCCACTCTATGCGACAAGAAGATCATATTCATCAATGCAAATTTGATACAGGAGTTTCCCAGAACCCCTGCAAGCTCGTTCCGACAATAAGAAGATCGTGAAAAGCATCTTTATCACAATGCTACCGAGGCAGATGCCATTGAGTCTTTTCAGGCGAACCAAACCGTCGTTGTGCCGCGCCTACAGCTCCAGCCACGCTATCAGAGGTGCGCCTCCAACCAAACCCCATCTTCACTTCATCCTAGGTACATCAACTAACCCTCTGCGTAGAGCACGATGTAGTAATCCTACGCCAACGAGGGACCAAAGAGCCCAAATTCCACCTCTCGCCTCCTCTCCGAACGGACGCGGCGATCAAGCTTTCCTACGGTAGCAAATTCAACGCCTCCGACATCATTGGCAAGTCCTATCTCGACTCGATCAAGGACAGCGGCGGCCGCAATGTGCGACTCCTCGAGGCGTCGCTGGGGCAATACGTCGCCAACTCTCCGCGCGTGGCGACACCGGTATGAAACGACTTCTTCCCAGGACCTGAAAAATTGAAAAAACAAAAACCAATTGGCCGACAAAGACTGAAACGCGCCATGCGGCAACCCTCGGGTTAGATCTATCCCCAGGACGCCAACCTCATCGTGTCCTTCCTCGACCTGAATCTGCCCGTACCCGGTGAGGACCCGGACTTTGACGCCGGCCCGCCCGTCGAGATCTTCGAGGCCGGTACGGGTATGGGCGCGCTGACGCTGCATCTCGCACGCGCGATCCACGGTGCGAACCCACCCTTGCCGCCGCGCCTCCGTGATGCACTTTGCACGGCACCATACGCGAGAAACACCCTTCGGAAGGAGGTTGCGTCAGACGAGGCAGCGGAGGAGGAGGGTGAAAAAGAGGTGCACAAGGCAGTACCGCACGCTCTCGACATCGCAGACTCTGAACTCGCGGCGCTGTACAAAGAGCACCTGGCGAGTCGCAGGGCGATCCTGCACACGTTGGACGTCAACCCGACATCGAGCCGGATGGCGCACGGCCTCGTTCGGCACTTCAAGAGGGGTCTGTATCTCTCCGACGTCGACTTCCACGTCTGCACGATCCGGTCGTACCTCGCCTCGCGCCTCGCCCAGAACGGAGGCGAGTCGTTCCTCTCGCACGTGATCCTCGACCTCCCGGCCTCGCAGGACTACGCCGAGTTGGCCGTTAAGGCCCTGCAGCCTGACGGCAAAGTCGTCATCTTCTTCCCGTCCATCACGCAGATCCTCGACTTTGTCGTCTGGGCCAAGGACACGGAGCAGCCGCTGGTGCAGGACCGCGTAGTGGAGTTGCAGACTTCGACGTCGGGCGATGACATGTTCCAGGATGGCACGGGCGGTCGGAACTGGGACGTCAAGGTTGTGAATATTCGCAAGGCGATTGAGAGGGGCGAGACGGGTGCGGCGGCGAGGGGGATCGTTTGCCGGCCCAAGGTCGGATCGCGAGTTGTCGGAGGAGGCTTTGTTGCGGTGTTTACAAAGCTGCCTCCGACGGCTGCCAAGCTAGAGGAGAGCGTGGATGAGGGTATAGCTATTTGTGAGACTACATCTGTCCCCGAGACTGAGGTATTGCTTGAAAAGGAAGCGCCAACAAGCTCATAAGGGAAGAGTCACTAGGGGTGAAGCTGGATGGGGAGAGGGCGAGCTTCCCAGGTGTTCAGATCGCCTTTTCCCGTTCCTCCTGTAGGATACTTGTATTATAGCTGTGTACGTTAAGGCGCCGTCATAAATCCCATAGAGAAGAGTCACATAGAGACAACAAACATATATACCTGAGCAAAAGAGAGGCCACCCCACTGAGATCTGGACGCCTAGCGGAAGTAAGCTGATTGATCCCTTAGGTTCTCACCTACGTCTTCAAGAGCAGAATGCAATCCAAAAGCAGAACAAAAACATACAACACCAGGTATTCGCTGGTCGTCACCGACCCAACTACTAATCCGGCCCTCATTGGCTTATCTATGGGAGAGCGGACGGGATCCCGAGTTTTCCAATGGGTATGGTCGTATGTGACAGCTCAAGGAAGCTAGGTTGATGATATTGTGATCAGGACGCTTGCGACCTTCAGGCCCATCGCGGGCCTGATTCCAGTACACAATAACTACAGATTTCCAGGTTGCATTTAGTCCACCTTGGACGAAGAATATCACTAGATATTTCAATTAAGGTTCTCTTCGCCCTTGGAAGCACAACATGGCGCTGCGAGGTAAATATCCCGAATATCCAGGGTTTTTATATGATGGTGACGTTGGAGATCACAGTACAAATACAGTGCGCATGCACTTTCCGGCACGAATCCCCCTACTCCACACTCCATGGCGTTTACATCTCCAACCTCACTCGATCAACTTTAAGCAACATTTCTCACCCAGCTGAATCCAACCTCACTAAAAGCTTGCAAAATGGCTTCTACGGGCACCGTCACGCAGCTCTCGATTCCGCTGCCCCACTCCCTCGACACCCGCATTCACATTCACCTCAGCACCAAGGCCAAGGTGGCAACCCTCTTCCTGACCTCAGTGACGCAAGACGAACAGTCGGGGCCAGCGGCACTTGGCTCGTTCGTATACGCACTACCAAACGTATTTCCCATCCCACATGCCACCAAAGCAAATGGCAAACCTACCAATACGAGCTTTTTTTTCACTGACACAAACAAAGAGACTTGAGCCGGCTCAGCCCATCTCAACGGCCATTTACTCTGTGGAGTCGACGCTGGAGTTCACAACGAGGATGGCTAAGCTGCTAGCCAAGAGGGCTAACATGCCCGTCTACGTCGGCTGCTCCATCAACCTTGGCGGCGCGGCCATGAGCCTTTCGGTGGAGGAGGAGATGGAAGCGTTCCGGGCCATCGTCGACGTCGTCACGGCGAAACTCAAGGGAGAGCCCTTGGTCAACGGTGCTTGAACACACACGCACCCAACTCTCAATAGCGATGTTATGGCGTAAGGGGTTTCTGGTCTACAAACTTGCGTCATACAGTCCTGATTCTCCCGCCCCTTGTTTACCGCTTTTTATCGACCGCCACTTTCGATCTTTGGAGGGAGTGGGAGCGGGAGCGAACAGGGGTGAGGCCTTCGCTGCTTGCGACTTCCTGAAGCGGATTGGGTGACAGTCACACAAGGGCTTGGGGATGTTGGACATGCGGCGTGCCGGGCTCACGAGGAGGCCCCGGGGTCTGGACGCGGCGGACCGAGGGGTCATGTCCCACATGTGGCTTCGGGCCGTTCGGCTGCGCATACGGGGCTGCCGGGCTCAGCGTGCAAGAGGCGAGGGAGGGAGAAACGCATCATCACGAACCGGTGAGAAGTTTGTACAGCGCGACGAATGTTAAGGGGACGATGGCGATGGACCCAACGTCATAGACAACAAGGACCGCCATCTCTACTTCTTTTACGAGGCTGCGCTCGAGGTTGCTATGACAGCGTGTGCAAATAATGCAAGTGATCTAGATGGAAGTTTGGTAGGCGACGTGTGAGACCATGGCGTTTTAGAATCTACGAATTTTCTGGAAACTGATCTCGTAGTTGCCGATTCTCGTGGTTCGACGTTTTGACTTTCTTCTGGAATCTCTGGAAGGTGGTTGCTCTCCGAGTCTAGAACGTGGCTAAGACGTGCCCGAGCAATCTGAGCTTGTAGTCGTCCGTTGATTTCGGCCACATGGTCCTCATTTAAGATTGTTTTGTCTTGTTTCGTGGTAGAAGTTCGGCTCATTGTTTGGTATCTTTCCCTTTCCTTCTTCTGTCTCTTTTCGTATGGAAGAAAACACCCGTAGAGTTGAGGTACGGAATGCGCTCTGACAGGGGTCACAGGATCTGCACGTAATACCTTGAACCTGGGGACATCGACTGGTAAACCAGTTACCTTTTCGGAGCCGGCGACTCAACAGCGATGACTCGCGAAGGAAAGAAGTCTGTGAACTTGTGCGGCTCAAAACTTTTAGGTTGACAATCGCCCCTTGCTAGACACAGAAGGAGTTGTCATTGTGAAGTCCATCTTTCAAAGAAAGGGGGGGCGGGTAGGGGGCGGAATACCCCTTGCGACTTCAGCTTGAACCCTCGGGGTTTGATCCTCGCCTCCTTCTCCCCATCTAAGGATTCAACAGATCCAGAGTTGTCGAGGGAACAGGAATTGTCTACAGTGTACGAATGGCTCTGGGAGGATCTTGTCACTTGCGGTGTGCACGAAATAATGTTTTCTGAGGCCTGTGCGACGTTTGTGGAGTCCCACCGTATTTCTGGCAACGTCAAAAAGAGAGAAAAAGGTGCAGGCAAGTGCTCGTTCTCAAGGGGTCACCTGAGTTGACAGTTGCAGGGGTCGGTCAAGGTCTCTTCTTTTGCGTGTTCCAAGTCAGTTGTCCCAGACTCTACCCTGAGAAGATCATCCACTAGTTCATGACTTCCAACTCGACCCCAATACTGGACTGGAGTTGGTGTGCTTACGAGGCGGCAAATCGAAGATGTTGGAAACTTTCTTTCGAATTCCAGCACTGAGGCACAACGGCAAGAGCAAGCGTGACCCACGTGCTGTCTGAGATAGAAGTGAACCCTGGCAGGAACGACAGACTTTATCGACATGGCGTGGTGGGGGAGAGCCTGCCGTGCCCCATCTGGTGGACGCAGGAGGAACGAGGGGTAGAAAAGAGCACGGGCCATAAAGTAAAGGTACTGCAGTCTGGGAGAGGAAGACGGGACTCCATTCGTCCACAGTTCCAGGAGCTCAAGATTTTTTCTCCTCATGGTGGGCAGCAGTGCAGCTTGTGGAAGGACCACAAGGACCTGGACTGGACGGAGTGTGAGACCGACACACATCCTACATCGGCGGAAGGACCGACCAGCAGGACGGACCACCTTCCATTTTACACATTTCCTTTGCCGTTTGCAACCGTCTTGAGTTCCCATCCCTTACCGTATCGTTTTCCCGGTTTCTAAATGTCTGCCATTTTAGACGTTTTCCACCTCTTCATCCCATCGGACTCCTCCTATCGCTTCTGCCCCCAAACCCCCAACCCCATTCACATGCCCACTGAACAAGCTGTGAACTTGAATCTCACAGCCTGCTTTCTCATTATCCATTATCGAGTGGTGAACAAGTACCCGTACATACAGTTACATATATATCTGCCTAAATGCTGGAGACAACGAGGAAATAGGCTCGTGGTTAGAGAGGAGAGGGCAGACAGTTGATACACACATGTTCTTTTACACGACACTGATACACAGATAACAGCTCAGCACATTAAACTTTTGTATACTCATCGCCACGCCTGTTGGGATGGACAGACCTCAGAGAGAGAAGACGACACGGCACGGCTAAAATTAGTACTTGCTGTACTTCTCACTCGCACATGTGCATCTGCCCTCCTGACCACCTTCCTTGCCTGCTTCACCTGCTCAGGTCATTCGAACGGAAAACAGACGCCTCAAATCGGTCATCTCGCCCACAGAAAGCAGGCCATTTGGGGGCCAACGCACCTACCTTACTGTATAGATACCTTAGCTGTCTTTGCGTCAAGGTAACATAATACTGAGGTGAAAGCTGCAGTGCGGCGTGCCCTCGCTACGACTACCTGACCTTATTACGGCGTACCGTCCACGGTACGGGCCCAGATGCGCTACGACGGACCACTAGCGCTGCGACTCTGTGCTTCTTGGACCGGGGACCTTCACTGATCCCACCTCTCACCAAGGTACCTTCTCCTGAGTCGCATTGGCCCTTCTCCGTCCGCTCAAAATACCATACCCAAGGTACCGTTGGGAGGCGGTCTCGTGCAGAGGTACCTTACCTATTACCCGCTACTCCGCCGCACCATAGTTATCGCGAAAAAAAAGCTGACAGGCTGACCCCACCATTTCGCCAGTCAGTGTGTTGCCAGTCGCCAATGTCAACGCCCACTGCCCTCACTACCGACCGTGGCCCTGGCCGAACAACTTCAACGACTGCCCCTCTCTACCCTCCCGCCGTGCCCGACAACCACCCGACCGATCGACCTCACACCATCGCTCCGTCGCTCGAATCCTCCCCCGATTCTCGACCACCTCACCAGTCGCCAGCTTTGGTTTAACATCTTTTTTTCCAAACCACCCCCAGAAAGGCGCCAGTCATGGCCTGGCAGCCGGCCCCAGAGTCCTTGAGCCAGCTGGCTGCTTGCCTCAAGGACTCGCTCAGCGGATTCGACAAGAATGCGCAGAAGCAGGCAGAGATCGTGAGTTGCCCACCATTCGTTTCCTTCGCCCATTGCGACCCTTGCTAACCGCCATTGATGCGCAGATGCTCACGCAGGCCAAGGCCTCTCCCGACTTCAACAACTACCTCGCCTACCTCTTCTCCAGCGCTGATCCTCCCCAGGGTGTACAATGCTCAGCCCAAGACTTCCACCTCGTGCGCTCTGCCGCCGCCATTATGCTGAAGAACAACGTGCGCACCAGCTACAAGCAGATCCCCGAGAACAGCTTGGCCCTCATCAAGATGGCCGTTCCCCTCGGTATCCAAGACAAGAACTCCCAGGTCCGCAACTACGCCGGCAACATCGCGACCGAGATCATCAGGAGAGGCGGTATCTTGAGCTGGCCTGAATTGCTTCCCCAGCTGCTTAGCCTCATTTCCAACGAAAACGGTCAGGTTTCCAACGAAGGCCAGGAGGGCGCCATGTCCGCCATGGCCAAGATTTGCGAGGATAACGTCAAGGTTTTGGAGCGCGAGCACAACGGTCAACGCCCTCTGAACTTTTTGCTTCCCAAGTTTATCGAGGCCACTAAAAGCGAGCTGCCCAAGGTCCGCGCAAAGGCCCTGACTGCCATCAACGTCTTCACCCCGCGCAAGTCTCAGGCCATGCTCAACAACATCGACAGCCTCCTCAACCACCTCTTCATCCTGGCTGGCGACCAGCACCCCGATGTGCGCCGCCAGGTGTGCCACGCCTTCGTCCAGCTGGTCGAGACCCGTCCCGACAAGCTGCAGCCCCACATTGCCGGCCTCGTCGACTACATCATCACCCAGCAGAAGAGTGATGACGAAGATCTGGCGTGCGAAGCCGCCGAGTTCTGGCTGGCTGTGGGCGAGCACGAGGACCTGTGGCGCTCCCTGACGCCCTACCTCGACAAGATCATCCCCGTGCTGCTGGAGTGCATGGTCTACAGTGGGGAGGATATTGCCCTTCTCGGTGGTGCATCAGACGACGAGGAAGAAGAAGACCGTGAGGAGGACATCAAGCCTCAATTTGCCAAGAAGTCGGCGGCCAGGGGTAAGGGTGGCGAGGCCTCAGCCGATACCGCCCAGAACGGAAATGCCTACGAGAAGCTGGCTAGCATGGACGATGATCTGGAAGAGGGCGAGATTGACGACCTTGACGATGGCGACGAGAACCCCGACGAACGCTGGACTATCCGCAAGTGCTCCGCCGCTGCTCTCGACGTCTTTGCGCGTGACTTTTCCGATCCCGTCTTCACTGCGATTCTCCCATACCTGACGAGCAACCTCAAGCACGAAGAGTGGCAATACAGAGAGGCCGCTGTCCTCGCTCTCGGCGCAGTCGCTGAGGGAACCATCAACGCCGTTACTCCCCACCTGCCGGAGCTTGTTCCCTACCTCCTCTCACTTCTCGGAGACAACGAGCCCATTGTCAGGCAAATTACCTGCTGGACGCTCGGCCGCTACTCACAGTGGGCTGCGAACCTCGACCAGAACCAAAAGGTTACCTACTTTGAGCCCATGATGGAAGGCATCCTCCGCAAGATGCTCGATAAGAACAAGAAGGTCCAAGAAGCTGCGGCATCCGCTTTTGCCAACCTTGAAGAGAAGTCCGGAAAGGTTCTCGAGCCCTACTGCATCCCTATTCTGCAGCAGTTCGTCCAGTGTTTTGCCCGGTACAAGGACAGAAACATGTACATCCTGTACGACTGCGTTCAGACCTTGGCGGAGAACATTGGACCCGTTATTGCTCAGCCGGACGCTATGAGCCTGCTGATGCCGGCATTGATTGAACGCTACCAAAAGGTCAGCGACGATTCGCGCGAGCTCTTCCCCCTGCTGGAGTGTCTCTCCTACGTTGCCATGGCGCTGGGCTCTGCCTTCACCCCTTATGCGCAGCCTATTTTCGTACGATGCGTCAATATTATCCACACGAACCTCGAGCAAAGTCTGCAAGCCACCAACAACCCAACACTCGACTCTCCAGACAAGGACTTCCTCGTCACCAGTCTCGACCTGTTGAGTGCTATTATTCAGTCTTTAGAGGAGGACAAGAAGCAGGAGCTAGTCAGGGGCTCAGAGGGAACATATTTCGAGCTTCTTGGTTTCTGTCTCGAGGATCCCCAGGACGATGTCAGGCAATCAGCTTACGCTCTGCTGGGAGACTGCGCGAAATACGTCTTTCCCCAGCTTGAGAAGCACCTGAACTCAATTTTCCCCATCTTGCTGAAGCAGCTGGATCTCGACAACATTCTCGACGAGGAGATTGACAGTGGCTTCAGCGTTGTTAACAATGCATGCTGGTCTGCTGGCGAGATCGTCATGGTCAACAGCAATGCAATCTCACCTTTTGTCCCCGAACTCCTGCAGCGTTTGGTCGAGATCGTCTCGAACCCTGGTGTTCAGAACGCCGTCAGCGAGAACGCCGCCATTGCTCTCGGTCGCCTCGGCATTCACAATTCCGAAGTCCTAGCCCCTCAACTGCCAACTTTTGCCGAGGACTTCCTCTCAGCCATAGAGCACGTCGAGTTCCTGGAAGAGAAGGCCACTGCCTTCAAGGGCTTTACCCTGGTCGTTGGACAGAACCCCCAAGCCATGGAGAAGGCGCTTCCTCAGCTCTTCGTTGCCATTGCGAGGTACAAGGACATTGCTTTGAGGAACCCAATCAAGGCCGAACTGCACCAGCACTTCCAGAAGGTCAGCATCTCTAACCCCCCTCCCACGCGTAGCGATATTTACTGACGTCTCCTAGGTTATTACCATGTACCGGGAAATGATTCCTCAGTTCAACGACTTTGTGAACCAAATGCGGCCCGAGGATCAGACAGAACTCCGCAAGTACTACTCCACATGACGAGAGCATGTGGACGCAGTTTGAGCGTTTGCGTATGAAGACGACGTTGAACACGAAGAAAAAGGGCCCAATTTTGAGCGATCTTTCATGATATGACTTGGGGAGGAAAATACCACCGAGGCGTCCTTTACAAATGAGTAATGACGATGCTTTTTGGAAGAAAGAGAGCAGAGCAGAGAGGCAGAGGAAGAAACATATCAAGAGAGCAAAACAGGCTTGTAGTTGGGTCGCAAGAGAAGATCAAGTCGAAAGAAAGAATGCGACGGAGTTACGACGTGAAACAAACACACCTGGCAATCAACTTTTCTCCTGCGACACAAGTGATCGGGGGCAGCAGCCGAGACGGATCGTTTGTTTTTCTTCTTTTTTTTCACGTAGCATCCCGACGGGGCCAGCATCATGTGACGGGGTGTTTATGGGCAGAGCAACTTGGAGACGAGAGACGCTCTTCTTTTCTTTGGTACACAAGCTATTTTGTTTGTGACTCGTGGTGGGAGGGGCAAAGTAATTGGGAACATTCGGTAACTGGGTGCAGCGCCTGGAGAACCGGACAAGCTCTCAAAGGCTTGCTGGGAGGAGCTCATTATGTGTTTTCACAAAAGCAACATTTGGAAGTGAACCAACACTCGGGGAGAGGGGTTGGAGGTTGAACCACACAAAGACAACACCGACCCCTTGCGCAAGGAAAAGCACACGGCCCTGCCAGTATTGAAATGGGAAGCGAAGGCGTCATGATGCATGCAAAACACACACACCAAAATGGGGCTTTAACCGTCGTAGATAGGTAGATAGGGTAGATAGATAGCTTTAGCATATGGGGGTTTTTATAAACCCCCGACTGTCCCCATGGGGAACCGCGCCGCGCGGAATTCAAGTTTTTTGGTATCTTCAGTCTTGATGGGGGTTTAATTGTGGTGACTTGGGATGTTAGGTCTCTTGTTGGCAAAGTAGTGTGTGATCGGTCTCGTTGAAGGCAGCTGCGTTGGTGACGAGAAGCGCTGTCTATGAATTGCTGAGTTTGTTCGGTCTTGTGTGTTGCGCGAAGAGGTCAACCTACATTGGATGGGTACTCGGTATTGACGAGAGCTTGAGTACTGGTTCGAGGATAGGACCTTATCGCGGGCTCTGCGCATAGCTTTAGTGTCGGAGGCCGGTGGGCTGAATGGCGTATATAAAGACAGGCTGGGATCATTTCGACTTCATTCGACACCGGATGGCGGAGTTGTTGATCTTCGTCCAATATCTCCCGGTATGCCGTGTTGGTGTAATTCTTCTTGGATGTCTCAAGACCTTGACGCAGAATATTGATCGTAGAAGCGAAAGACGGTTTGCGCCTTCTTTGTTCGATGTTGGTTTCTTGGGTATACGGTTTTGAATACCCCTAGACGGACGATTGGAACTGGGAGAGTGAATTTCGAGGGTACTATATCGATGTGAAGCTCAATGAAGGGGGTGTTGTCGACGTCGCCGCCGGCTAAATAAGAGTACTTCAGCCTTCGTGACTCCCTCCTCGCTACCGAATCAGGCAGTGTGCGACCCCAGAGTCTCCTCTGAAGACGAAATCGAAGTCTTAAAGGCCAGGCATAAGAACATTCACGATTCCTCGAGCTAAGGGTAGTTTATGTTGAATTTAACAAATCGCTGACGATGACAAAAGCAGCCTTTCCTGAGTCATAACAGAGCGCGCCGCCGGTTGGACTACCGCATCAACTAACGGTTGTAGACAACTCCAAAGTCGTATCTGCGAAGTGCCCAGTGCCTTGAATATACAGCTCCCATCACCTAGAGATGTGAGATATGGTGGCAGAGCGTGTCGCCTGATTTGTCCTCCGCCGAGACTTGCCTTCAGGCGTGAGATCTCGTCCATCTTCTCCTCGGCCATCCCAGCCTATGTCCTCCAGAGTTGCTGAGTCTCTTCTCCGTACTAAATGCCATTCAGCAAGGTACGTAAGACTTCGGTATTTGTGATTACTATCGGGCTCTAGTGTATCGGAAACGAATACGTCGGCAACAGTCATCGGCAGCGCTAGGCGCTGTATCTCTCGACATTACAAAGTTGTGGTAAACCTTGTAATACCGCAGATCATGATGGCGCCGAAGCTCGATCGTCGGTGTCAATCGTTCTAGACTTTTCAACAAGTCATCCCGCGTCGGGGCTTACAAACGAAGTGATGTGGTGCAGTTGACCTCAAGAAGCACCTGTCCGCATTTATTGTGTAGATGGATACACTTATCGTCACATCAACTTTCCAGGCCGGATAGAGTGTTCATTCAGGCAGGATGGTCATCAACTACAAGGTCGCAGCGTAGCGTGCTCGACGCAGCGGTCATCTCTTTCACCCACAGCTTACAGACAACCTAGGAAACAACTAGAACGCCAGGGCGTCTTGCCTTGCGGTTGGTCACAGTAGTGAGCACAACAAGGTTTGAAGGACGGAAGGACGTGAGTCTGTCTGAGGTCACCTTCGCGAGTGGCAGATCAGTGACTCTACCAACATCCATACCTGCGACCTAAACTCCAAGGAACGGAGTCAACTGAGCTATTTCTTGGCCATGAAAGGACCCTCGTCACCGTTGAGGTGATATGGAGTGACCCTTTCACTCGTTGCTCTACGTAGTATGCTAAATAGCGCCGGATGAGAGAATCTTCATGCTCCATGAGCTATGAAACCCACGGTTCCCCTTGGCACGTCACGCGAAGTCGAATACCATCTTGACTCCTTGGCTTTGAAACCCACCCGTTTGTAGTCTATCCCGCTCGTCAACCCAGTTGATGGAATGAACGTGGATACGTGAAAGTACTGGCTAATCAGCAACCCCCTGAAGCAAATCCTTTTGTTCATCGGCCAGTTTACAGAACCCCTATCTCGAGGAGGTATTACCAAGAAGCTAATTAACGATAGCGTCCATCTCGAGTGATATACTTCTCGAAGTCTATGCGCTATCTCGAACATCCGTTGAGTGTCCACGTTGGAATCGCCTCCGTCCCGAAAGTATGCCCAGCCAGGACCAAGTCTCTAGTCCGACGCAGACATTTCAAGGACACCGAAGATAAGGGCAACGACGAGGTCGTTGCCTAGTGAGGTACGTTCTTCACGACTTGAACGTGCCGCCCAAATCTCGCGAGTACTGGCGTCTGGAGAAAATCTGCCTAGGCCAGTCAACTAATCTGCCAATGAATCTCTCCCTGGAACAGGGAAGGACTTCATGGATTTGGGAAGCAGCTAACCAAGAGCTCAACGGTACATTTGACCAGCAATCTCAGAAAGAACGAGATGCTTCCAAGATCCAAGACTTTCAATAGCCGAGACTGACCAGGCTCATCGGTGATGCTATCTGCGACCTGGCAAGCATGGTTCTGACGCCTAGTCAAATCACCACATCCCCCTTTATACGGCCGTTGCATGTCTAGCATCGACATCACCACCGTTATCGTCCTACCGCAATCTCCAGCCTCGTATACCACTCCATTCACTTACCTCCTCTTCAATCCATGATCCACATCCATCCATCAACAAACCCCCCCGTGCCGTCGTGCCGTCAAATCCCGACTGACCCCGTTTCAATACCCGCCGCTATCTATCCCATCTAGTCCCCCTTCAGCTGGGCCTCGCCTCGCCTCGCTTCGCCTTACTTCGTCAGGTCACTTCTTGGCCGATCATATGCAGTCCTCCGCCGCCGCCTTCTCCCACCCGCCAACCAGCCATCCAGCGGACTAACAACCCAGCCATCTAGACAGCCAGCTAGCTAGCCAATTCACATCCGCACATAATTACAAAGTGGGATGGTACATCAGACCCCGGACGCCCAACCTTGTCCTCCAACCATCCTCAAACCCGTTCCCTCCATCAAGACAAAGCAAGAAGGAATAAGCAACGAGATACTCGAGCGTTGGCAGGCAAAACAGCCACGGATACAGAGACACTACTACTACAGAGTACAGAAAGAGAAACACCCACACGAGCATAGGAATCTATAACCCTGACGACGATCCCCCTCTACTACCCAAAGAAGCTCACACTCTGGTCGTGGTCCCCGATTCAGCCCGCCGGACTGCAGGGGGAGGGAGCATCCCATCCGGATCAAACCAAAAAAAAAAAAAACCTCACCCCTCCCCGAAAAGAAGCCATGCACGGCCAAGCGGAAGACAACATTCGCGTTCGACTTCCTAAATCAGACAAAGAATCAGTACGATATAGGAGATGAGACCCCCAGAAAATGCAGAACAGACAAGTTTACAGATTCGTTCGGTTCCGACGGCTCTAGCCTGTATGAAAAAATCAAGAAAAGAAAGCACACCCAGCTGCAGCAAGCACGCAAAGTGAACACCCACTACCACACTACCCGCATGTAAACTTTGACGCCAACGATGGAAAAACGCTAGACTCGTTAACACGAAAAGCAAATATCCCTATCCTATCCCCCCCCCCCCCCCCCGGTCACTTTGCACCATTCGCCTCCTCCCCAACCCCCCGTGTCGTCGGCCGTAACATATCATAATTTTAAAATCACAGATCGATCCGGTACTCTCATTCCACACTCATCACACTCATCACATTTGAACTCTTACCCCCCCCCCCCTCCCTACTTCGTACATGCCTACGGAGTACGGAGTACTCCTACCGGGCTTTTCTCTCGCCTTGCTTCGTGAAGAAGGGAAAAGAAAACGTAGCTGTAACAAAAAACCACTCACTTTCCCGGTTACCTGGATCTTACCTCGATCCAGTTAGTGACATGTCATAAATGAAATGGGAGCATTGGCAATGAGCCAGGCAGAAGGGTGGGAGAGAGAGTGTGTACGTGTTTGCGCATGTCACAGTGCAAGGAGAAGCCCAAAGTGTGAATGCGCGTCGTCAAACTGGTTTGTATATTTCTTCCACGCACCGAAAAAAAAAAGGCCCTATCATCCCCTGCTCAATAGTAGAGCGAGATGGCGGCAGCAAAGACCCCGAAGCCAAGTCTGCAAGCTCAAGCTAAAGCTAAACCATACGGGAAACTCATTACAAAAAAATCCCCGACGCTCAAGAAGCATCCGCTGTTTTCTCTCTCTCCGATGGAGTGAAGTAGTACCAAAGCTCATTAAATCCAAAACTCTTTTCGTCCTCGGTACAGTTCAGAAAATTCTGGCGGCGAGAGGCAAGCCTTCTCTATCCGCGGCAACGTCCAATAAAAAAATAAGATCAAAAAAGCAAAACTTGTAACTCCGCCCAATGCAGTTTGGAGGTTTCGAGCCATCCATCCAAGTGTTTCCCTTGTGCTGTGTTGTGTTGTAAACTCCTTTGTAACGCCGAGTGTGTGTTGTGTGTGTGTGTGTTTTGCATCAAACACGAAAACAGATCGCTATGCAAGTTTGGATTGTAGGTGCCAATGTGATCCATAAGGAGTGTGTGTATCTTTCTTTCTTCCCCCCGTCTCTCTAATTCGAGATGCTTTTTCTTCTGTCGTCAAGTCATAAAAAGGAGTGTGGTGCACTGGGTATCATCCGATGCCGGTGAGAGTAGGGAACGTCTATGGTTTTGTGGTGGATCGGGGGTATCATCTTCGATAATTAAGGGAGTGTCGTCGTAGATTAATGTGAGGCAGTTGTCGCCGTTGAGGTCGTATATAGTTGGTGGTTGAAAAGGATAGTCGTGGCGATGCGGCGGCGTCTGGCGCCCCGGATCAACCGGTTGATCTCTCTCGAAAGGAGTGTAGTGTACATTGGCGTATTGTGTCGATGCAGCAGGTATTATTAAAGATGTTTCGAAATCAAAGGGGGTCCCAAACGATGGTAATGAAAAAGAACTCGAGGGTGGGGTGGAGAGTGGGAAGCAGGGAGCGGGTGGAGAGACTCATCATGTCTCGCGCTCCTTGCCCTTCTCGCTGTTGAACTGGAAGGTCGGTGTCGATGGCACTCGCTGTTGGTTGCGCGGCGGGAAGGGTGCGCTGACCGACATGGGAGAGTCGCCCGTGACGGAGACGGAGGAGGATGGTGTATGCCGGTGACGTGGGAGAGGCATGCCGCGAGGAACTGGTGACTCGGGAAGGGGGAGCATGCCGAAGAGTTCGGGATGGAGGAACGGGGATGGGGGCAACGTATTGAGCGAAGATGATGCTAGGACGTTGGAATCCTCCGGTGGCGGGTAGGTAGGGGTGGTGGGCATCCTGAGCGGCGGTCAATCCGGCATTCTTTCCAAGCGACAATTGCACTGAGCCGTAGTGGTTATCGAGGGTGCCATGGAGGAGGGGCAGGGCCTTTCTAGATCCACAGGGGCTGCTGGGTGGTGGTGGGAGAGACGAACCCGACGCCAAAGTTGTGGGAACCGCCGACGATGGGGGTAGGCACGCCGCTCATGTCATAGCTCTCGTACGAGCCGTACTCCTCGTTGTCACTGTAGGCAACGGAGCCCTCAAATGTCGAAGAGGCCGGGCTGTAGCCGCCGTAGTTGGGGCTGGGGATGTTGAGGTACTGCGAGTTGACGTACGGGGACGACAGCACCAAGGGGGAGACGTTGCTGGGCGGCGCCGACTCAGCATTGAGCATCTGCAGGGACTCGGTACTGTAGCTGAAGGCAGGGTTGTGACCATATGGCAGATACGAGTCGCTGACGGGAGGCAGGGGTACTGGCTCGTTCATGTAGAAGTTGGGAGGGTTGAATTGCGGGAACGAGGGCGTTCTCGCGGGCTGGATCCAACCCATCCTCGAGCGGAACTCGTTGACCGTGTCGATGGGGAACTCCATGAGCGTCAGGGGGGTCTGCAGGTCGCCGTCGTGGTTGGCCGAGATATTGATAGACAGGAGGCGGCGGGCGATTTCCTCAACGGGGCCAATGGACAGACTGCCAAAGTAGGCGGCACCAATCTCAGTGAACAGACGCTCCATGATCAGGGCCACCGTGTAATAGTAGGCAATGATGGTGAGTGCGCTGGGCGAGCCGCCCGTCTGCTTGAGGTACATGACCGGCAGCCAGAAGAGCCACGTCCGCAGGGGACGAAGGCGCTCAAACTGCTGGGAGACGGACAGCGTGGGGCTGACCTTGCGGGCGCCCTTGAGGAAGCTGATCAACTGCTGGATTGACTTGGTGTCCTCCTTGTTGTGCTTGAGATGGGCCTCGACCTTTTGAAGCTGGCTCAGGGTGCGGTTAAAGGCGTCAATATCCTCCTTGCGTGGCTGGCTCGGCTTGTGATCCGGACTGGGAGAGGCAGGAGCGGTTGGGAATGTGCAGCTCTCGGCGATGAAGTCACCAAATTGAGACTCGTGCTTCCAGGAGTCCATGGCCTCGATGACCTGAAAGGGTGTGGAGTCAGTATTGTTCCTCAAACACTGGCCGGCTTCCTGTGTACAACATACCGATGAGGTTCCTTGCATGAGCTGGGTCCAGCTTCGCCTGCAATTTTTGCGTTAGTGCTGTACTGCATAACGGATGGCTGCCGCCAGTTGCCTACCAATCTGTGGCTTGCCACGACAGGACAAGAGAGGCTGCCAAGACGGCATCCGACGTCTCGCGGTCGAACATGCCAATAGCCTCCTGCAGACCCTTGAGGGCGACGCCGCGGTGCTCGTACGCCATGTTGCCCACCAGGGGGCAGTCGGTCAGGAAGGCAATGTGCGTGGCCGAGAAAGCCAAAAGCGCATGCATGACATACGGGTTCGTGGCTCCGATCTTGATGATACTATTTCGAATCAGTACAGTCTGGCGTAGAAAAAGGCGAATTCCTACTTACGTGGGAATCTGGCGTGTCCAGAGGGTGAAGCCGTTGGCATCAAAGGTAGCCAACTCGTTGCAGATGGATGCTACGTGGTAGATCAATCTAAGATCCTCTACGGACAAGTACTGAGGGTTCGGTGCCGGGTAGATGCCGAGGTTGGGGAACGGGAACATTCCCGTCTGTTGCCACTGCGAGATTTCTGCTTCGACCTCAGGAGTCCACATGAGGTCGGGCTTGTCGGGCGTTGTTGACCTGTCCTCGGGCATGGGCATGTCGTTGTAGGGGCAGCGAATCTTGTGCTTGGTGCAGTTGCGGCTGGGTTGTTTTAGTTGCCGGTTCAGGAACAGAGCAGGAAGTACTCACCATTGGGGAAAGTTCTCGTCGCATCTGATGTGACGGCGTTTGCAAGTCTCACAGCCCTTGCGGGACTTGGTGTGACTGCGGCGGGGAGGACCACCACCAGGACCGGCCATTGTGAGCGCGGGGATGAACTAAACGAAAGAACTATACGTGTCAGTGTAAAGCGGGAAACGATGGGCAGGCGCAACACGTACACGGGAGTATACACGGACAGATGACCGTGTACGGGTAGCGAGTGGAGGATCGTTACTGGGAAAGCAACGTAAGGCTTAGTCTCAAGACTAGACTTTAATACTGCGCGAGAGTGTCGATGGACCGGGGCGAGCGATGCAAAGGAGCAAATGCGTCCGCGGATGTGTAAGCGACCGGCAGCAGGTTGGTCAGGCGCTTGGTGTGAGGCAATGACAGAAAATTGGTAAAGAAAGCCGCTTTGCTCGATAATCGATTTGGCGGGTTCCTCTTACGTCTCTTTCTGTCCTTGATCCCTTTCTTTTCTCTTCTTCTTCTATTCCCAGTTCCTGATACTAATAGCGATCGTGGGTGGGCGGGTTCTGAGTTTCCCAAATTTCCGTTGTATATCTCGAGTCCTCTGTTTCCGAAAAGCGAGTGTGGTTGATCAGAAGACCGATATTCAGTGATGGAGCATTTGCTGGTTGTAAGCCGAGTTGTGGGAGAGGCGGGGTTGTAAGCTAGCGAATCCCAGGAGTTGTTGAGGCTGGAGACCAGGGTATTTGGCGATGAATGCTTCGAGGCTGAGGCTGCTGGGGTAGACTGAGCGCGGGTTGGAGGGTTAGGTTTTCCCTTTCCTTTTTGTGTTCTGTTCTGTTTCTCTTCCGGGGATCTTGTTGGGAGAGAGATAATTGAAACAAGAGGGCTGGAGGTGGTTGGCTTGGAGGAGGGTTTTGAGATTTTGGCGGAAAAAGAAAAACACAAGAACGCGAAAGCGAATGACAGGAGTCAACGAGGACTTCCTAAGAGTAGAGTTAGAAAAAAGCGAATGTGGTTCAGGACAGCGCGAGCAGCTCAACGAGGCTGATGAGATTTGATGTTTGATGTAGGCTGAGAGGAGGGGAGACAGGAAAAGGCGGTGGTAAATGGGCCGGGGACAGATACAGTTAAATAATGGCACCTCACCCTCACGTCCCCCAAGAGGATGAGAGACAGTGGCCGCAGCAGGCACAGCACAACCCTCACACACACATGGATGCACACCACTCACACACAGGCTCCGTCCAGTCTGGCTTTTGGCTCAGGAAGAGGGCGGCACACACGGTTGAGAAGTGCCACACCAGGTGCCGGCCTAATCGGGGCAAGGCATGACCACCGGGTGGGAATAACGGGGCATGACCTGTGAGCAAGGGCAGAGGAAAAGAAAGCAAAGAGAAAAACAGCTGTGCTGTGCAGGTTGCTGCAGCTGGTGCTTCTCCATCTGGGCGAGGGTGGGTGTGTGTGTGTGAGTGAGTGCGAGTGTGTGTGTGGATGTGTGAATGAGATGTCCAGGTGCGCAGACCCCAGGCGTAGGTGCGGGTGCAAGGTGCAGGGCTATGAGAGGAGACAGAGAATGGATGGGACAGGGACATGTGTGGACTGTGGAGGGGAGGGGCCGTCCGTGCTGGGATCGTTGCTGGGACTAGGCAGTGTGAAATCCGTACGTACCGGGTCATTAACTCTCTCTCTCACACACACTCTCTCAGCGATGTGCGAGATGTGTCTATGTACTTGTGTGTGTGTATGTATACGTGGTGTGTGTGTCGTGGGTGTCGAATGTGTGAGAGTAGACGCAGTGTATTCGTACACTTTTGTCCTGGCTCTTTCCAACTGCGTATGCCTTTTCCAAAGGTGACAGAGACCGAGTGAGTGGCCTCAGTAATGACAGATCCAACAGATTCTGTATCCGAGAAACAGGGTTTTCGCGGATTCTGACACAATCGTCCGCGGCTGGGGTTAAGCCTGTTGGACAGAGAGGCTTGGAGTGTGTCGGTGAAGACTGGTGCGTCGCGGAGCTTATTCTTCTTCTTCCTTCTCTCCGTATCGTTGTCGTCCGTAAGGGGGGCAGGAGTGAATCGCGATGCCCTGTTGAGATAGGTACAGTATGAAGGGATGGGATGGATTGGGGTGAGATGGGACTCTGAGATGGGAAGGGGAATAAGAGCAGGGATCCCGGCTATGGTCAGCCAAAAAATGGAGGCGAGGGAGATGGTAAGGATTGGCTGTGCGTGTGTCCGTATGTACACAAGGTAACGCAGGCGTGTGCATGTACTTTAATGCATGGAGAGACTGGGGGGGAGCAGACGAATGAACGAGAATGAGAATGAGAGATGTAAAGAATAGTTATTTCTCATCGAGGATGGGACGACTACAAAAAGAATCCGGCAGGGCGGAAGAAGATGAGTACGTACTCATCAAATGGGGGTGAAGAAGAATGAGAGGAGTACAGGAATACAGGAGATAATGGGTCGAAGTCGCCGCCGGCATGGATGAATAGGTGCTAACTAAAAGATTCCTTGTCATGTCTGATGAGCTTGATGTCAACGGCCATCATCATGTCTTGATGTTCGGGCGTGTATTGACACGGGACCCGAGCAGCTTGCCCCAACATTCGGTAGTCGTTCGTAGTCAAAGGTAAAGGTAACCAGCCGTGAGGTAGGTAGTCTGGGATTTCCTTAGACGAGCAGACGCTCGGCGCTATTCCGCGTCTACCGTGTCTATCAACGTCGGTATCTGTCAAAGACGGCCGTAGTAGGGTCGTAGTGTCGAGTGTAAAGACATGACTACGCCCGAAATGTTAGTTTTGTGCTGTGATGGGCAATGTGCTGTTTGTCCATCGCACCGCCAATCTCCCCGTTCACCCGCCAAAAGTCGACCCAAAAAAGAGTCAAAATTAAAAATAACCCTGCGCCCCTCCTCCCGTGGGTGAGCCGGCTTCTTGGGCCCCAACCAAAGGCGGCGGCGATTCTCACTTGCAAAAGAACTAACGCAGAGGGAGAGAGGCCGGGGGCCGGGGCAAAAGGGCCACTCACTGGTCACTGGGGGCCACCAGTGGGAGTGACCGAGAAGTGAAAACAAGCGGTGGAGTCAAGTCCATCCAAGAGAAGACAGATGATTGACCGACCAAGCCGAGGGGCGGGTGAGTATGTGAGCGAGAGACAGAGAGAGAGGGGGGTATAGGCAAGAGAAACTGCGAAAGAGAGAGAGAGAGAGAGAGAGGGGAGAAATGTGCGTGTTAGTGAGCGAGTGACTGACTGACTTTGGCCTCTCACCCCACGCTGCATCCTGATGATTCTAGTCCGCAATGGGGCTGAACAGCTGTGGGAATCATGGTTTCGCAGCACGCTCGCATCGTGTCCATGCCGAATTCCCACCTCCTTTCTCACCTCTCTCTCCAAACAACACACACTCCCCCTCCATACCGAACCGACCACTGGGAGACGGCCCTTGGGTTTGCTGCGCCTCAAGCTGCTGCTTCTGCTTTGCTTCGCTTTTTTGCTTTCACGTCCCAAAGTTCGCCGACGGAAACATGCTCTCCAGCGCTAGTAGACAAGCCGCACCATCTCCATGATCCATCTGGCGACTTTCTAGCGCGTTCCTCTGCTATGCCCTTCCCAGTTAGCCATCCGCTGAATGTGTGGCTGGTTTCTCCTCGGGCGCGCTGCCACAGGGCCCCGTTGCCTCTGTTACCTTCGCCTCCCTGGCGCCGTCGCTACTGCTGCTGTGGGCGATTCTGCCGCTGGTCTCACTCTCGCGGCTGCTTTCGCTGCTTGTCTCCTTCGGGAATGGCTTCGTTACCTTTGCCGTCCCCTGCTACCGGCCCATCATCGCATCACTGCGTCCCGCCGCTGATGCCATGCCATGCCATACTGTTCCATTATCGCTCCGTATAGCCTCTCTATTTTCGATGCTCGCTTGACTGAACCTCACGACCACCGACCGAGAAGCTGTATGAGCCTTAGAGGCCAAAGGTCAGAGAATAGGGGCAGGGGCCAATCTTGTCCCGATCCAGTCCAATGACACGCTGCGGGCGAGGTGTCGGCAGGGAGCTAGTCAACACGATGGAGGCGAAGCAATCGCCAGTCAGCGAGTACTGTATCGTTGCTTGTCTGTGCCAGCGTCTGTGCCGGTGACTCTTTGCGACGCTGCCGAACCAGTCATGGACGAAATCCCCAGCCCAACTCAACTCAACTCAATCCATCCCATCCCATCCCATCTTTCGGTCTCTCGTCCTCTTTGTGCTCATGCTCATGCAAACATGCTCGTGCAACGCGCCCACTCAGCCGATGACAGAGAGCACCGCTCACCGTCCAGTCCCAGACAACCACTTGGCTCAGCTTCATGCGAGCTTAGCTCTGTGCCCTTGGTTTTTCGTGACACCATTCAGCAGGAAATCTAGGCAATGTAAATGCTCGGGCAAAAGTCAAAAGGGGCCCGCCAGACCGGAGCTCGGGCGGCAAGCAGTATTCGCTGCTTTTTTCGTCCATCCCAACTCTAGACTTGAGAGGAAGACGAAAACAGAGGAATCAAGAGGTAGACAGACTCCGCGATTCGGGACAACATCCCCTTGGCCGCCAAAAGCCCTCATGATTGGGACTCACGGCTGGAAACCTCTTCACACTTCACAGGCCCCTCTATGCTGGGCCTCTCTGTCAAGCTGTGACCAAAGTCATCTCCTGGCTCGGTAGACCACCGTCACCCAGCTGGCAGAATCAGGTGACTTAGGTAATAGCTTCGATAATTGAGTTGCGGGACCTATAGCATGAGAATAGCAGGCGGCGACCGTGGACAAGTTGAGTTGAGCACCGCCCAGAGTAACAATCCATTGCCCTCGGCATTCGCCATTTGGGCTGGCATGGTATGCATCCGACTAGTCTTCTCCGGGGCTGAGAGCCTGAGAGGGTGCTCTCCAAGATGTATTCGGTCAGAACCCGACTAGGAGGCCAACATCGTCATGTGGACTCAACTTGCTTGCCTTTCTATGGCTCCGGGTGTGGTGACATGCAGTACCGTCCGTCGCCAGAACCCTACACAAAGGTCCCGTCACCTTGGCCCGTGGCAGCAGCATGGCTGCAGTGGAAGCGGTTCTCTCCGTGTGTATGCCCACAGCGAGTGGCTCTCTCTCCATTCCCAACGACACCCATTGCCCGCGCCCATTGCCCATTTGTTGTAACTTGTACAAGTAAGGAGTGCCTACCGCCTGCCCTATGACCCCAATTGGGCGGCCCTAGCACTGGGTCCAACAAATAGCCTCCGCGGTCATGGGTATAGGTTTTGCTTGCAGCGCGCCTGTGTCTGCGACTCTGCATCCCAACTTTCGTACAGCTTTTCTCGCCTCGCTGTTGCGTGGTTGATCGAGTGCTTGAGGTCAAGAGCCTCTGCGTTCCGAAGTTGCACACGCAATCGTCCCAAGTCAGATGACGAGTGCGTCTCTGCCACCATCGTCTCGACATCTCTGGAAGCTGACATTGCCGCGGCGAGAACTGTCCAAAAAGCAGGAGAGTTCGACTCCCGTCATGCCACAGCCTTGAAGGATAAGAAGCTCGAACTCTCAGCTGGAGCCCTGCCCCGGTCCTGGTCTATCGAGGAAGAGTGTCCTTGCATCGTTTCCCATTCTGACCGGAAGAGGAAGGACCCTGTTCACATCTTTAGTCCACTAGAACGACTGACGAACGTTATGCGGTCATGGATCATTGGCATCCGTGCATACTCCCCCCTTGGGCTCCCCATCACCCATGCGGACCTTGCCCCGTGGTATGCTATGCCGAAAGAAGCGCCAGCGCGATGCGGCGACGACGAAAACGAAGGTGCCCAGCTGGTGGACACCGTCCTGAAGAGAACAGCCAAGAACCATCAGGCGAGTTGGAGGCTCTCCTAGTCTAAGCTACAACTCTCCGCGACGCCAGATATGGCCTAGGACCTACCAGGTAGCATCAGCCTGAGAGACCTGACGGTCATTCAAGACATGGTTTCAAGCCTGTGCCGTCGAGTCCGAGCTTTCGAACCACAGCACTCGCACAAGTTCCCTACCAGGACCTGGGTCGATGCCGTGGCAGGGGGTTGATGGGCAAACTCCAACTATACCCACTGTCCACTATGGTATGGATCTGCTGCTGCCGCTGCCAAAACAAACCATCAAAAGTGCTTGGTGGTTTGTGCTTTTCTGGTGAAGCAACGACACGGCGTCCAACCATCTCGGTGCGACGTTTGGGGGCCTGTGTTCTGCCTTGTGTTATTTCTCCGACTCGCGTGTCCATCGATCCCTTGGGGCTATTCCCTGTCTGTAGCCAGAGTCCCTGCCGAGTCTGAGAAACAGTCCATGATCCCATTCTCGTCTCCGGAGGCTGACAATGTGCCCCTCGGCTGTGTCCCGATACACTTCAGACGACTGCCGGAGCCAACCGAATGTCAAATCATGAAGGCGAATCGGGCAGATCTGGGGACTAAGGTTTGAGGTCGTTGCTATTATGTCATATCTGCTGGACATCTCTGTCCGGAGCACTGCGGTCAAGGGTCTGGAGACGAGCGTGAAAGAGTTTTAGAGATGAAGGTCCGAGAAGGGAAGAAAAAAAAAGTGCCACGATCATTTCCCCGCTCTACTTCTGCGTCCAGCTTCACCTCGGTGGGTTCGCTAGCGTAGCTTGCCTTTTTGCTTGGTATCCGTAGTGTAGGCGGGTGCATCGAGTAGCAGCGAGTCAGAGTGAGAGGTCGGTGGAGAAGACTAATTCAAAGACAAAAAAACGTTAATTCGATCCCCCTTCCCCAGCAAGAACAAGACGTGATGCTTTGGAGCGCCGTCTCAAGTAGAATGAATCTCCTTGGGGGATCTCTGTCTCCCGAGGTCTCGTCGCATTTCCTCCGAAGCCTTCTCAGGATGCCCCCCATCAATGACTGCTCCGCCGCGCTGGGGTTGAGCGCGGGTCTTCTACACAGGGCCTCCATCTCTTGCTCTTGTCTCTTGTCGTTGTTTGAACATGCCTCTACCAATCTGCAAGGGGCTAGGAGATCGGAGTTGCAGGGCATCTTTCTGGTTCTGGTTGGCTGAAACAGCAGTTTCTCGTGTCCATTTTTGGCGTGCGCTGCTAGGGTATCTGACCCATGCTCTGCTTTTCCAGCCTTGGAATGAGAAACATGAACGGGGGGCTCGTCATAAGCAACTTTCCCGAATCATCAACGAGATCTCAGATAGCCATCGCAAACCACGAGGCACCTGGTGTCACCGCTTAGCGCAACCAGCAACATACCGTCAACCTGTCTGTGCCGGCTCTCGGGGGCGTGACGCTTACTGTGTATGTCGTGGCGGTGGCTGTTCTCAACGTCGTCCAGCAAGTCAGCTTCCACACAGGCTGACGAGTGCGCGCGCGCGTGTCAAGGGTCGCCCGTCTCTGGCCGGGCCCGCGTGAGGTCCGCTTCTTTGTGCCTGACCGCCCCGTATGGCTCTCCTATCAACCCTGTCAGACTGTCAGGGATGTCCTTTCATGACACAGAACACACCAGGACCAGCACACCAAACATTGATATGGAGTCTGTCATTTGTTGGCTAGCAGCGGTGTGAAGCAGCAGCGAGATAATCTTCCGAAGAGACATCACGAGTGGGTTTGGCCTTGCTGGGCGGGATGTTGGAATCTTGGAGATGTGGGCGCTCTATCCTAGGGTCCAAGGAACCGAGGTAAATGGGAGGCAGCTTGCCAGCTTCCAGTCGTTGGAGGCAGGTCGGAGAGCGGCCACCGGACGTGACCTACCGACCGTCCGAAGTTACGATGCAGGAAATGCAGGAACAAGAAGCGTACAAAGCCTCAGAGGTCGGCGGTGCAGGAGAGTCGAAAGAAACCTGCATCATCTTGACATCAGCATACGCTTCTCGGCCCGTCTGCGTAATTCGGTCCATACGGTGATGTGAGCGTCAACAAGCCTCTGACAACAAAAGCACCACATCATGGCACTTTTTTTTTCCCCTCCCCGCCTCCGACCGAAGTTACTGTGTGTCTCAGTCGATTGGCCGGCGAAGAGTGACCAGCGGCCTGAGGCTCTGATATGGTGTCCTCCTCCTAATATCCATGCAGAAGCATGGTTGAGGGCATCTGGATCTTGCCGTATTCGGCAAGGCGGGTTTCTATTCTTAAATAACCTTCTTTCACGTTGTCTGCGAGATTTCGGCCAAATTCACACCGCGTGCTTTGGCTTTCGAGTGCGTTGGAGAGCCTTCTTGGGTACCGGGACATTTCAGCTCTC